TGGAGACGTTTGGTCGGATAGTCACAGATTGTTATGATCCTTTCAGGCTCTGAAGAAGGTGATTCCACCGAAACGTCAGCCTAATAAAGGATATTTAAAAACCTCGTGAAGAGTTCAAGAAAACAGCAAACGCTATAGTTAGCCTTCTACTAAGGGTGTAGACCACAGATGATGAGATAGAAGGCTGTAAAAGATGAATAATTAACATACATGTGCAGGCACCACTTCACTCAAGAGCGTTGAAATCGGGGAGCATAGGCAATGCGTGCGACTCTGAAGGGAAACACGATCATTACAAACTTGTCGTCAGATGATGAGAAGTACGGAAGTTGACAATTTGACACATCAATCTGAAGAAGTTTTTCGATTGAAGTTTCAAGTCTCTCACTAAAGGAGATGATTATTTGGGGCATGTTTCGAAGAGGAAGTCACACACATGGAGTTTTCCGTACATGAAAATCTATACAACTTAAAAGAAACCAATGGGAATTCTATTAGATTGGGAGGAAAAAAGGTTTGATAACAGAAGTGCTTCCAAAAAATTGCTCCATACTTAAACACACGCTGACCTGCCTCTTGGCCAGTAGAATACTCGGTTGGCCACGTTTTTTTGTGCCACTGTGTGGTAGAACCAATTGTATCTATCGTGACAGAGGTTGTACATTAGCGCTGCCGGCATGTGCAAGCGCCAATCCCACCAGTAATCTTGAGGACCAGCTTCGATCATCAATACGCGATTATTTGGATTTTCTGATAATCGACAAGCTGAAACAGGAGGCTACGAATCAATCCTCTTGAGCTCCGACCACCTGACTACTGTTATTGCTTTCAAACCTGCCATTTGCACAGCATGAAAATGATGTTAGTTGTATAATGAGAATGAAAAAAAAGACTTTACTAAAAAAGTACACAGATCCGTAGATATATAAACTACATATGTACATACGTACACACATACATATCGTTCGTGAGCAAGTGCGTCTTAGAAATCGCATCTGTGGAACAATCTTTCACCCCCAGCAACTCCTTCTTGGAAAAGACGCCTATGAGAAGTTTCGATTAATTTTTTTACTTTTCTCGACAAAAATAATCATGTCGCTCTGATGGCACAGATTCCAGCTCAAGCCGTCATGGAAATGGGCAAATGGCTACGAGAAAGGATCTAACTCTTTTCAACGGCCTCACTATTTGTAGTCACTATTTGTAGTGAGGACTCTGAGACTAAACACTCGTTCCACGCTGAAAACCTTTTCATCAGAAAAAACGTGTCGAATTGCGGGCCGCGTGGAAAAAGAGCACGACATATGTTCATATATGTATAAGCTAGATATAGGCTTATAAGGCTCTTGAAACTTTTCTGGGAATATTTGAATTTACTCGTTGAAGATTTATCTCATCGAACTAGAATATACCCTGAATCCGGCGGTCGTTTTTTTTTCAGCAAGTTTCATAGCTTAATCATTCCCTAGCAAACGTCTTCTGAAGGGGTACTGACTGAAACAAGACGATCGTCTTGACACTTGTCGTCGTCCACGCATCGCCATTAAAAGAATGTGGTGCGAGAAATGTCGAAACGACGAGCGATCCCGGAAAAGGACTCATCGACCACGCGCAAAAATGCAACGGCTGACGGATGATTGTGAGGCATACAATCCTACTTACTATAAAGCGCTTCGTCTATCTACCTATCTATCTATCTATCTATCTATCTATCTGTCTGTCTGTCTGTCTGTCTGTCAATCTGTATGTCTGTCTGTCACAAAATTCCTTAGCTCTTCAGATCTGCCTGGAGAGACCGGGTCAAGCGTGGGATGAGTGGGCCATGTCCCGAGAAGTACAAAGTGCACATCAGCTTGGCCAAGCCCTGCCCACAGTGGGCGTGGCGTGCATCGAAATGAGCTGTACTGAGGACCATGATTTCAAACTCAGTCACAAGACGGCTTCAAGACTGGGGTATCAAGGTGGCCAGAGGTGTGCATCGGTATGTTAGATCCAACTGGGGAGACCCACCCCCGATGGGCGGGGCGTTCTCCGGAAATGCAATGCTTTATGAAAACATTTATAACTTGGTTTGGAGGAAGCCAACAGAGCAGGAAAAGGCTGATGTGGGAGAGGCACTGTCGAAGGTGTCTCCAGCATAAATGACGTCAGCGGAGGCCCGTCCACAACGGGCGGCGCGTGCCTCGAAGCTCATATCCCTTCTTACATTTGTATACGAAAATCCATAACTCCGATTCCCATGGACCTAGAGAGTTCAAATTTGGTAGGAGTACAGGCGGCTAAGGGGAAAACCTATGGTGGGTGGCAGGACCAGACTCCGCCCACAGGAAGCGGGGTTTGGGCGAAAATTCATAATTCCTGTCTCCATGGACCTAGAAAGTTCAAACTTGCTAGGATTACAGCCGACAGGATGGGAACACTTATGATGGGTGGCAGGACCAGACTCCGCCCACAGGAGGCGGGGTTTGAGCGGAAACTCATTAATCCGATAAAGGCCTATAATGAAAAACAGCTAATGTGGCTCCGTTTCTCATGGCTAGAGCCCTAACGCACGGGAATGCGTGCGTAGTCGCCTGGTTTTATCAATAAGTGACAAATCGAGATCACTAAAGATGTTGGTAGGAGGGGAGAGGCCGGTAAAACGGCGGTATGGCCGTGACCACCCCTGAGGCAGCGAGCGATTAATCTGGAGGGAACAGAGAGGGGTATAAAAGAGGATTCTTTCTGCAGGTAGAGAAGTCTCCCCAGAGGAACGACCCACCGCCCTCCCTTCGGAGCGGTCATTGTTCTCTTTTTATTCGTAATTTATTTATTCGCCATTTGTTCGTATTAACGCGTTTTTTTGTGTTCTCTGACAAATCTAACCTCAGTTGTTGTTACTGTTACAAAAGCACGTTTGGGGGGGGGGGGGGGGGGGGGNTACCAAGCACGTTAGGAGGGGGACCGCATAATCCCCACATGGGGGCCAAACTAAACTAAGCGTGCGGAAACAGTAAACAGTAGCTACAGGGGGTTTGATTGCGGAGATCAAGCCGAGGGAAGCAGCAAGTTTGGGCTCGTGATACAGGGCGATCCAAAACTGTTAGTGAGGACAGCTTGGCTCGTGGTACAGGGCGAGCCAAGGCTGTAAGTAACGATCGTTTGATCCAAGACAGGTGAATCACAGGGGCTGTAACAGATTGCCCGGGGGATCAATCGATCGTGAACAATCAACCACGTGGTAATGACGTCGTGCGTGTTCGCTTCCGCTGAGTTAATAGTAAAGATAAGTAACTGCAGGCTGTTACAGTTACTAACAGTGGTTACTAAAAATGGCGGGCCGAGACGAAGACGAGGTCAATATGGAAGAAGCTATCGAGGACTTTCTGCAGGAACCAGGAGTAAGTTCAGATGATCTTGCCTTCTCGTTTAAATTGATCAGTAAGGAATTGAAAAGGATGGACTTTCTTTTGAAACAAATACCACGGATCGTGAACGAGAAGGTGAGAGAGCATAAAGTTTCTGGTCGGTACAAAGAGAAACATGCGGAGATAGTAAGGAGAGAAGTGGATAAGATATGCGAAGAAGTGGAGATGTTGGCAAGTAATTGTAAGACCACAACCGTGATCAAACGGGAAATATTTGAGGTTTTGCACATAAGAGGAATAGAAACAGAGGAGGATTGGGAGCAGTACATCTGCACCATAGAGAAGGATGGTGAAATTCTATCAACAGTATGTGAAGAATTAAACACAGATGCGTTGCAGGTGGTGAAGGTCGCAAAGGAACTTAAGAAGGCGGACGCCCCGCGATATACTGATGTGGATAATGGAAAGGATAGCAATGGTGAGTGTGCTGACAGTAAGAATACGGCTTGCGATGGAGAAAGAGATAATCTGGTTTTACAGTCAGCACCGGCGCTGCGGATTGGAGCACCTTACGAGTCCAAATGGAGGCATTATGCGCAGACCTGCTCGGAGGAACCAAGAAGACGACAAGATCAGAGTTTGACTATGGATATGCTTAATTGCTTTCAATCTTTGTCATGTGCCGACCCCGAGGTTTACAAAGGAAAGCTCAATGAGAATTTCAAAGAGTTTGTTAGGAGGTTCCGGAGGAAATATCAAAGGGTAGTAACGAGCGATGAGACACTTATTGAAATATTGGGAAATGATCACCTGGGTGGTAGAGCAAACTCAGTATTCTTGTCTTTACCGGCGGAATTGAAACGCAGGGGGTTTGAGATGGCGATCGAAGAGTCAGGGAAGTTGCTCGCGGAAGATGGCGTGGCTGGTAGGATGCGCGCCATTGCTGAGTTGCGAGAACTGAGGATTCGCCCCAACCTAGAGGTCGCCGACTTTTGCGTAGCATTGGAGAAACTGGGAAGGAAAGCCAACCCGCAGGGTAGGTTAGAGGACAGTTCACTAGAATTTACGCATATACTCATGTCTAATCTCAGGGTGTGTCCTGAGTATACCTATTGAGTGCGCCTCTTAGGACAACTTCAGAGATGGCGTACGAAGAGGTTAAACAGTTGGCTTTATCCATCGAGCTATCTAAAAGAATGTACGGAGGGACATACGAGAAGGGAGATCGATATCGCCACTGGAGTTCAAGAGCAAAGGCGTACAGCAACAAGGAGGATTCGAACGTTGGAAAGGTTTCAAGAAGCACCGACGTCAGGGAAACAAGAAAGGAGGATAAGGAGATAACGAAGCAGGGTTATCTCGAGAAGGGGTCAGGAAATCCTCACAACCACCCTCCGAGAATACCAGAACGGAGATCATCTGGCGGGCCCTGCGGAGAGGAAGTACGGCGATAGAAAGAAGTTTTTCAGTGTCCAAAGTTTGGCCACATAGCAAAGGAGTGTACCCAGAGAACACAGGTGAGACGGATTAACGAGAGTCGAGAAAGAAGCGACTCTCGCGACACCGAGGGGATCTCGCGGATTATTCAGAAAGCGAGAAGCATGGGTGTAAAAACACTGGACAGCCCGAAAACATTTTCACCGCTGGTAGGGAAAAGAATGGCGTGTTGGACGAGCATGGTGAAAGTCGAGTACCCGCTCTATTAGATGCAGGTTCGATGATCAGCTTAGTGCCCGTGAGAGTGCTAGCACGTGCCAAAGACAGAGGTTTTGACGTGGATAGGCTTGAACTTATAAAGGATGACAAGAACGTGCCAGTTTATGATGCGTCTAGTGATGGAATGGAATTCATGGGTGCAGTTAGGATAAGGGTTGAGTTGGAAGGTGGACGAAGCAGCGATGTAGCCTTCTACATGGTGGATAGCTGCGACGAAGAGGTTCTTCTCGGGACCAATGCGTTGAGCGACCTGGGAGTGGACCTGACGATTTCGCGAGCCACATCAGGGATTCGGAGAGAAAGAGGCGTAGAGACTCAGACAATAACGGTAGCAAAACGAGTATATATCCCGCTTTACACATACAAGATAGTAACAGCGCGCTGTGATATAGAGGGGCAAGCGACAGAGGATGTCGTCTGGCCATCTAGGAAAGATTTGGATGTGGAATCTTCGAAGTCAGAGACCAACAATTGGAGATACCAGCAGTAAACAATAGTGACGAGCCAGTGATTCTGGGGCAAGGAGAAGTGGACGGAGAAATGGGAGCCATGTGTGATAGGGGATTACTGGGGACAATTAGTGCACACGAAAGGCGAGCTCTGCTAATTGAGCAGATAAAACAAAGTTCAAATATGGATAAGTGATGATGTAATAAAGGTACTGGATGACTCCCAGAGGCATTTTCGGTGTCGGATCGCGAGCTCACAGGAACTGACAAGGTAACTATGGCCATAGATACAGGGGAGAAGAAGCCCATAAAAATGAAGGCGAGACATGTTCTTTTAGCGGTGAGAAAAAAACTCAAGGAACTGCTGACTGATTTGCAGAATCGAAAAATCATAGAGAGGAGCAACTCCGATTGGGCATTTCCCATCATGCTGGTTGAGGAAAAGGACGGGAGCTTGCGCCTGTGCGTGGATTATAGGGAGTTGAATAAGAGGATAAAACAGGACTCGTATCCATTGCCTACTTTGGATGCCATTCTTCAGAGTATGGCAGGAAAAAGATGGTTTTCCACTCTAGACCTTTGCAGTGGCTACTGGCAAATACCACTGTCGGACAAGGCAAGGGAAAAATCAGCATTCACAACTACAGAAGGGCTTTTTCAATTTCGAGTTACCCCATTTGGATTGAGCACCAGCCCAGCAGTTTTCCAAAGACTTGTGGATACAGTGCTACAAGAGCTTATAGGAGAGGTTTAGAGGAAGTTTTTTGTTATATAGATGACATTATCATTTGCACAGAGTCACGAAGCCAGCACATGCAGCTGCTGCGAAAAGTGTGCGCTAAGTTAAAGGAGGCTGGGTTACGATCAAAGGCTCACAAGTGTGTTTTGTTGAAAGAACAAGTGAGCTTTCTAGGACACATAATTGATGCAGTAGGCGTGCACATGGACCCCCAAAAAGGTTGAGGCTATCACAGAGTATCCTCCACCGAGAGATGTCAAAAGCTTTTTCGAACATTCTTAGGAATGGCATCCTTCTACAGGAAGTTTTGTTTGGGATTCTCAAAATTAGCTGGTTGTCTCTTCACACTGACGTCACCCAGGACATCATGGAAATGGACGAAAGAACACGACGAAGCCTTTGAAAGTATAAAGAAGATGATCACATTAGCACCTGTTTTGATGCAGTCAGACATCGAAAGAGCCAGGGAAGGAACAAGACCATTCATTATCTGCACGGACGGTCAACGACCGGTCTGGGTGCTGCATTATCACAGGAGGGTGATGACAAGCAATTACATCCCGTCTATTTTGCCTCAAAAAGCCTAAGTAGATCCGAGAAAAGGTATCACGTCACAGATCTCGAAGCTTTGGCGGTAATCTTTGCCGTGCGCAGATTTCACATGTTTATATACGGCCTCCCAACGATAGTTTTGACGGATCATCAGCCCTTGACGGCGCTTTTTAAGCGAAACAACGTTTCGACTCGTGTTCTCAGATGGTCTCTCGAAATACAGCGAAATAAAATTGAGATAAAGTACGTGAGAGGTAAAACCAATGTAGTGGCTGACGCATTGAGTAGAGGAACGGCAGAGTGGTCAAGTACAGTGTCTTTAAGCGGAGTCGACGACGCGGTAGTAAGTTAGAGATCCAGAAAGAGTCGAAATGAATGCTTGAACTTAAGAAGGACTACGATTTTTTGGATATAGTCAAAGCTGTGCTGGAAGGAAAAGTAGAGGGCACTAAAACATTGATAGGGTCAAAGCAGGCTGTGCGTACAGCCGATTTCTTTGTGGAAGATGGGGAATTAAAGATGTACCGTAGCGACGGGAAACTCGTATTTGTTATACCTAGGGGCGCCAGACAACAAATTTTCCAAGCTCACGCCGGAACATTCGCAGGACTTTTTAGCGCATACAAGCTATACAACAGACTAAAAAGGGAAGTTTTCTGGCCGCCAATGCTACAAGATATTTGCAGGTGGACGCGCGAATGTCAGCTATGTTTTGTACATAACCCGAAGTCGATGGTGACGCCGCCTTTGAAACCTATAGTCACGACAAAGTCATATGAGATCGCGGGTGTGGACATTCTGGAGCTAGGCTTAACGACAAGCGATAATAGGTATGCGGTAACAGTAATTGACCACTTCTCGAAGTTTGCAGCAGCATACCCAGTACCGGATATGTCGGCAGAGACTGTGGCAAAAGTGCTTTTCATGCGGTGGATTGCGGAACGCTGTCGCTGGCCAAAGAAAATTCTGTCCGACAAAGGTGGAGAATTTGAGAATAAGGTAGTGACAGAGCTGACTAAAATTACTAAGATCGAACATGTCACCACAAAAGGTTATAATCCGAGAGAAAATGGTTTTACAGAGACACTGAACGGTACGATAGTAGCGATGCTTCGCCGCAGTACAGTGACCCCAATGAAATGGGACGTCAGACTTCCACTTCGCCTCATGGCATATAATATGACACCACATCGATCAACCGGAGAAAGTCCGTATTTCGTTCTACACGGGATGGACCCGAATTTCCCGTCAGCGATTACACCAAATGGTGGTGTAAGTTGGTATACGATGGACAAGGGTTTAGACGATTATAAGTCTCAGTTACTTCAGGCAGTAGCTGAATCCCACGAGCGCATTCAAGAGTATAATAAGCGCGTAAGAGAGCAGATGAAGCAAGAGTACGATAAAAGACATAAGGTTGACATGAGAAAATACGCAAAAATAGGAGATAGGGTATTTTTGTTTGCGCCAAATGAGAAAGGTTTGAGTGACCACCCAAAATTGACGTGTGAATAGTCGGGACCACTCAGAGTGCTGGAAACAAGCACAAACTCCGCTTTAATCAGTAGAATCGGGAATAACGGGGAACCGATCAGAGTACACTTCGATATGTTAAGGATAGTGCCTAATAGTATCTCTGACGAACCCATCGCCACGAAAACAAAGAGAGGAAGGCGTGGTAGAAAACCAACAAAACATAATTAATGTAGTACTGAAACGTTGCAGAGGCGCGACGCTTTCGAGCCCCTTGGAAAAAGGGCACCTGCTATTCCTATGCGGAAACGGCTGTTTCGATGGAGCGACGTTGAAGGAAATCGAAAACACGAGTTTTCCGGGCGTTGTGGCCAGAGAACCAATAACGACATTGTGGGAGGCTTGGCTTGCAGCGAGCGTTTTCAGGAGGACGGACATAAGCACGGGAGAAAAGATAAGAATGCACAGGGAAGGAACTGTGTGCTATGAGGCGGAGGCGTTGAAGGATGTGCTTAAGATGGCATACGACAAATGCATAGACTGGACGGATTTTATCATGAGCACGGAAAGGATCACCCAGCATTCAGCAATTCACGGACATTGCGTCGAAACGTCATATGAGGAAGCGTTACGAGCTGTTCGGCAGGAGCTTAATTAGGACGTAACGTGGGTAATCATGTGGCCAGTAGTCCCGAAAACGGACGAGGAAAAGCCTAAAAAGCTGTTGAAACTGGTGAGAAGCCAAATAAATAGCGGAGGGAAAGTCGTCACAATATGGCCGTCTGTGAACGAAAGGAACATGGTGAAATGGCGAGCGGTGCAAGAACTGTAGGGCGCACTGGATACCACGCTCCAGAAGATCGACGACGGAAACCAATTTTTTTGCGGGATCAAAAATCATAGACGGCAAGTTGTATATCGAAGCAGGCACACCGGAGAGGAGCGTACAATTTTGTTCGGGACATGTAGGAGCAGGCGTACCCAAGGCAGCTTTCGAGGCGGCGAGGAAGGAAATATCGTTGTTACGAAAAGTTGCTACCATATTTATGGCGCATCCGGTACGTATATATATATATATGTATATATAATATACACATATATGTGTGTATGTATGTATGCATGTGAATGCATTTGACCGGAAAATTCACCACAACTCCTGCTCACGTCGGCCTAGATAGTTCAAATTGGTGGGAGAAGCAGGATAGGAACACTTATAGTGGGTGGCAGGACCGGACTCCGCCCGCAGGAAGCGGGGTCTGCGCGAAATGATTGAGCGGAAACTCATAACTCCTGTTCCTGTGGACTTAGAACTTTCAATTTATGTAAGAGTAAGAAGACAGAATAGGAGCACTTATGATGGGTGGAAAGACTAAACTCCGCCCGCAGAAGACGAGGCTTGCGCGAAAATTGCAAATTCTGATTTAGAGCTATCAAATTTGCTAGAGGTACAGGCGGCAGTATGGTAGAACTGACGACATGGCAGGACTAGACTCATACACCGACACATGGATACAGATTTTGACGG